TCCACCCCTTCCCTGCCTTTTCCAGGGAGGAGTTTGTTTTTGCCAAGCTCCGCCGGGAAGAGCCGGAGGAGGGGCTCTACATCCTCCGCTGGAGCGTCCTGGATTTCAACCGCATGATCCTCTCCGTGCTCAAGAGGGGCCACCAGCAGGTAGGGAGCGCGGAATTCCCGGGAATTGCCAGCTCTGGAATGACCCGGGAGCCCCGTGGCTTCAGCTCCCGCCTCTCCTTGGATTTTCCAGGCTCCTGGGACGCCGGGATCCGTCAAGTTCCGGCAATTCCGCATCCAGAAGAAGGGAGACTGCTTCGTGCTGGAGGGCTGGGATCGGGAATTCCCTTCCCTGCGGGAGCTGCTGGACGTGCTCAAGGGCTGCACCCTCAAATCCGGCGAGGAGAACTTCACGGTGAAGAGGTGCTGCCCGCCCAAGCCCGGAGGTAGGGACGGGAATCGCGCCGGGGAACGGGAACGGGCGGATCCGGGAGCTCACGGGGCCCCGTCCCCCCTTTTCCCAGAGATCTCGGACCTGCTGATCGCACGGAAGGAGAAGGATAACGGGAAGCAGATCCTGAACCTCACCCAGCTCAGCTTCCACCAGATCCGCAAGAACGAGATCACCCAGGTGCCGCTTCCCGGGGGATTTTCACTGCTCGGATTCCTGGGATTCGCCGGGGGCAGTGGAGGAACCTGCTCTGGCTTCTCGGGATCCGTGGAATGCTGGATGAATCCTCTCTGAGTTTTTGGGATTCTCGGCTTCCCAGGGATTCCCTCCGGATCCCAGGATCCCAAAGCCAGCCGGAGTGATGGATTTGCTGTTTCATCCCTTCCCTTTCCCAGGAAAAGAGAGGGAAAATTCCCCTTGGAAGCAGCTTTCTCCCACATTAGGAGGCGGAGGGAATCCGGGGAGGGATCCAGGTGAGGATTCCCAAATTCCCAGCGTCCGACAGCTCCCGCTTTTCCCCGTTTTCCCAGCGAGCCCACCTGGGCCAGGGCACCCGGACCAACATCTACGACGGGGTCCTGAGCGTCTGCGGGAATTCCGGGAATGACGACGAGGCCGAGTATTTTTCCACGGAGCAGAACAACAACGGGAGGGAGATGCACGTGGTGCTCAAAGTCCTGGACCCCAGCCACAGGGACATCGCCCTGGTGAGCCCTTCCCGGGCCGGGAGAGCCGGGATCGGGGCGGGAAACACGGATCCGGGGGTGGGAGAGGGATCCGGGG